GAAGCGTAGTAGTGCACTAAAGTTACCACTCGTGGAGCACTTACAAGGCTAGCGTTTGCGGAACCCGGATGATTAGATTATCATCGCGTTCCGCAACCGCTAGCCTTGCACCTGCTTCACGAGTGGTAACTTTAGTGCACTACTACGCTTCTCACGCGCTCAAAGTCTTCCTGAAAATTACTGACTTAGTGGTCTTCGATGATGCTCAGCAAGTTTCTAATTAAAGCAATATTCTATTTTCATTGTTTGTAAAGTTAATTAACAGATTTTAATTAATTAGCCGACTGATCGTTGCGATTAGCCCCCTATGCTATGTTCCCCTGGCCGTATAACTCACCTGCACAAACCGCATAAGTGTAACTTCCACGAAATTTTTTAAAGAAATGTTTTAAGCTTAAAAAAAAAACACAAAAAAAACACCCTGTATATATATGTATGCCGAACACCTGACGAAGCCAGGCCCTCCCGGCGAAACGCTTGGGAAATAAAGTTTGAAAGTTTTAGGGTTCCAAGTTTTCTGGTGACGTTTTTCCTTACCTATATATATATATATATATATATATATATATATATATATATATATATATATATATATATATATATATATATATATATATATATATATATATATATATATATATATATATATATACATATATCGATGAGCCGCCAAACAAAGAAATATTTGTTGGTACTTAACCTACCGAACCGGAAGTCTGAAATATTTTTCGAATCCTAATTGCAAGAGAAAAATATTATAACGATCAGTTCTTATCAAAGTGCTATCGGAACACCAAGAATCCTTTATTTACTTGAATATATGAGTGTCAATGCGTTCAGGAAGTTTGTTTTTGTGTTTTAAGTTACATAAAATTTTTGGCAATATCCATTTGACGCTTCTTGTTCTCCATAGCGCTTAATAAACAAGTACTTTTCTGTCTCAGCTTTAGGCTTACGCATACAAGAAATTATGAGGAATGATTACGGCGTACCGTAGTGTGGGTCATCTTTTCGCCTTCTGTGTTGCTGACTTTCTTTGTTAACATAGGCACAATACGAGTCGATGCTCGGAAACTGTACAACGTCACCTTTGTAATAAACAAGTCGTTCTTGCTGCGATCGTTTTATTGGTGGGTTCTCTTTAATATTCACTAGAATCATGTAAATAAAAAAAAAATTAGATGCTCTTTTATTAGTTATGCACACTTCTAATTGAGTATGAAGGGAAATGGTATGCGTTTTTGGAAACACGAAAAAAGAAAGACTGCACAACCTGGATGTTGACAACAACCGGTTCTCACCGACGACCATTACGTTTGCTCTCTTTCTACCCCGTCCGAACACACAAGCTTAATGCGGGCTTCGTATGCAAACGCCGCTTATTTTGCCAGTGTTTAATATATCAACCAGTCGCTTGAGTCAAGAGCGACGACATGACGCTGGCTTTTGCTAGTTGCTGAAATGTTCAGGTTGCTATTTTCAATCATTTGCTTTTTATCCAGGGCACGCATCCAGTAGACTACGTGTGGCATACTTGTCGGGTGATCTTATAAATAAAAGCTAAAACAACGTAAAATAAAAATAAAATTGAAGAACTTGAGGACGATGTCTCAATGTAGGATTTGAAAATAAATCACGGACGTTTTTATCACATTTTTATTAATTTCTCGATGATGATGAATGGTAAAAACACAATAAAAAATATTGAAACGGAAGAGAGTGGCTTACAACAGATACTTTCAGGTAATTGCAAATGTTTGATTAAATTATTTAGCTATCCAATGAGGAATTCAGTTTGTATGTGTTCATTGCTGGAGGAGGAAAAAAAATAGAAACGATGAAAGTCAAAAATGAAAAAAAAAGGAGATAGGAAGGAAAAGTGTCGAAACAGTTGGGTGGAATAAAGGTGCGACTCTCTGATATACACCCGAAGAAAAACTAAATAAAACCAACATTTATTAGAGGCCAATCACCCTACTGTACGAACATCGGCGGTACAGTACACGCTTCAACAACATGATATATTAGGGTGTCCCAAGCGCACACCCTAATATATCATCTGCAAAACTAGCCGGAAAAATCCGTGCGTGCACACTGAAAGCTCCAACTTTCACCGAATGTGCTCTAAGAAGGTCAGTTTTACTGTATGAAATTTCTCGGCGCTGTTGTCTTCCTGTAAAGAAATGAGAGCAAAAAATTTGCCAACGTAAAGGTTGGGCGCCTTCGCAAATGATCGAGTTAGCGACGCAATTTACTTGTGACGCCATCTCTTGAAAGGCGCAGCGAGCAGACAGCAAAGCAGCGAAGTGCGTCGTCTGCTCACTGCGCCTATCAGGAGATGACGCCATAAGTAATTAGCATCTTCCACGATAACAGCAACGCCCTTTAGCGACTAGTCAAAACACTAATACGCCGTGTCCCCGAGTACGGTTCAGCCATTTGGAATCCCTGGAAACAATCTGATATTAAAAGAATTGAATCAATCCAAAAGAAAGCCGTACGTTTTATTTTCCGTCGCTGCGACACAGATTTTTCCCCATCCTGTAACCTTTCTGCGCCGAGCTTAAGTCCTCTTTCAATTAGACGTCACACTGGGAGCCTTAAAGTCCTGTTCGATCTGGTTAACTCGCCACGTCTCACCTCATTAGATACATGCATAAGGTTTCACACAGCGTCACCAACAAGGAGCCACCATGACCTAAACATTTCACCATTTTATGCATGTGCTGACATGTTTAAATAGTTTTTTCTTTAGATCAATTGATCATTGGAATCCGCTACCCGGTAACATCCGCTCATTACGCCGAGACGAGTTTCTGTGTTCGGTTGACAATGGTTCATCTCATTTTACGATGTATTATGTTTTTTTCTTTTTTATCCAAAACGGAATTGTGATTCCCCCCCCCCCCCCCCCCCCCCCCCTTCTCCCATTCCCGCAGTGGCCCCGACGGGGCTGCACCATGTAAAGATAAATAAATAAATGTAGCTACTTCTAAATGCCACTGCGAGATAGCGTCACCGGCCTTTGCGCGACTCAACGTGAACGAGAGTCAGAGTACCAACACTACAAGGCTCGATGGCGCTAAGATGGCAGGTTAACTTTTTTTTTTTTTTTATTATTGAGGTTATTATGAGTGTTCAGAAACATGTTTTTAGCGTAAAAATAAACGGAAAAACTTCTTTTTGTGGGAACTTTAATTAGAAATTAGCAAAGGATGACAGGTGCGTGATGCTTTTTTAAAATCTTTAGTTTACAGGGTTTTGCGGCACAACTATTATTGATGTTAAAAAACATCTCTTCCCGTTGATTTCAGGTAGCGCGCGTCCCCACCTGGGGCTTTAAACTCGTCAAACACAAAGTTGGAGTCGAAAGTTCGCGGACCGCGCCGATTGGACGTCGGCGAAAAAGGCGCAAAGTCATCGTCGTGATTGGCCAATCGGTGCGCTCCGCCAACTTCGGTCCCAACTTTGTGTTTGACGAGTTTAGAGGTCCTGGGCGCGTTTTAACTTTGGTGACAATTCACGACGCGTCCGCTTTGGAGACGGAGATTGGCATTCCTGAAACCCCTTCCACCGTATATTTTTCGGCGCCAAAACGGCCGATTAAAGCCAAAATGGAACAGTGACAATGGGCGCCATCAAATGCGATGCTCCCGAACCAACCCCAGCAGCTGTGCAGATCCCCGAGTGGCCGCTGCGGGAGAAATGGCGGAGTTGCGATCGCCATTAGTTTCGTTCTCAAGTACGGATCAGCGCCACTTTTGCAGAGCAGGCTCTATGGCAGTTTCCCAACTGACAACTCGGTCGTCTGCGAACGCGCCAAATGTTAACTTTGGCAAGCTTTTGGCTCACATTTTTTTTTTTTTTTTACAGTAAAAGAATTTCGCTTTGAAGTTTCATGCGGTAAAACTGATTTATTCAGCGCACATTCGGTGAAAGTGTGAGCTTTCGATGCGAAGACGCAGATTTTTCTGGCTCGTTCTGCAGCGGAATTGGTTTGCTGGGGACACCCTGTAGTCACTGACAGCTTAAGAAGCGCAGAGCGTGGCCAATTATGATCCCGCTTCTTGTTTTTGTGATTCGTTCTCTGGCGCTCTTATCGGCTGATGCTGCAATCTGATTGGCTGAAGAGAGACAACGAGCCACACGGGGATGACCACACCTTACGTTCCTTAAGCTGTCGGCGGCTATGCCTCCACACAATATGAAGGTCACGTCACTTCAATTTACAAATGATGTAATGGGACGATGAGTTTCGACTCTCTTCTGTAGTCATGACATCAAAAGGTGGATATCATACTCTTCAATTTTGCACCCGAACATTTGATGTAGAACCTTTAGTGCTCCATTCTGCCTAATAAAAACTGATGGATAAACAAAAATGGTATTATGAAGTCAGCAGCAGTTCAAAGCGCCCCCTCGGTGAATGAATATTTTTTTCAGATTCGTCTAACCGCAAATGGGGGTATGATAATAATCATACCCACATTAGCTGAAATTTCCACCGTTAATGTCTGCTCACAAAAACAAAGAAAAAAATCAATGACGAAGAGGAAAAATCAGCTACTGTGTGACGCAACCCCTACCTCGAGAGTACAAGTGCTCATTACGGGAGCGTTGTCTTAACAGACATACGAGGAGAATAAATTGGGGGGAGGGAGGTTGTCTTGTACTCTACAATTTGTGCTGCGAAAGAATTGGGACACGGCGGCTTCTGCGGTCTAACCTAAAGTTATTTTCTTTGCTCTTCGGTTTTTCTTTCCATTCAGTGCGTTTCAGTCATCAGGTATGCGACGGCAACCCTTCGTGGCCGATATAGGATAAGTGGCCCGTCCTTTGAACTCGCGTTATAAATGTGGCTGGTATTCACGACGTTCAATCCTCCGCCTGGACTTCAACGGCCGGCAACGACAAACGCGGCAGTTGCCATCTTTTGGTTCGCGTCACTGATCGGACCGCTAACCGCAATTGGTTGGTATAAAATGAGATCCACGGAAGCTTCAAGAGGTCATCCTGGCGGTGTTTCTCCAGAGGTCGAAGTTGTGGAACGTCCTCCAGAAGGAACAGCTTTCGGTCCTGGGACCCGTCCGAGTTAGATAACCCTTGGATGTGATGTCTAGGTACGCAGGGTGGCCAGAGGAGTACTTGGGCCAGGGCTCACCAGATGGCGAGCTCGGCTTCCTGTCAAGTTTGGACCGAGAAGGCACGATTAAAACTGTACGAACAAGAAACCTGGATTAAGTGTGGTACGACTCTTGATTGGGCTAGTTGGTTCCAAGACCGAGAGAAAAGGCACACATGCGACAAGGGCATGGCGCCAGTACTTTTCGTATCTATGCCTTTTTTTTTTGTCTTTTTCTTGTTCGCGATATTTAATAATTATCTTTAAGTGAAGGTCTCGTTCAAATGTGCATACGTCTAAAATTGAAAAAAAGAAGAAAAAAAAAAAAGAAATTCATCCTATTGTCGAGTATGTGTCTTCTAATCATTCTTTTATCAATCTACGTATATTCTCCTATTGGTACGCGGCATAAAACACGGGTATCGTTTTATTTATTTACCGTGTGCTGATAAAATTTTTGAGTCTGCTTGCCAATTTTCTAACATGATTCAGTGTTTTTTTTTTGACCATGTCCCCATTCTGGAGTTAATTTTTTTTTTCTTGTTGATTTTTTAGGGTTGTTAGACTTTGCTTTTGTATGCACCGCCTACTTGAAACTACAGTTGATAATTATAAAACAAAATTGAAAGACGTTGACAAGCTTGATTGACTCTGACTTATTTCTGAATTGACTCTCAAAATGTCCTTACGTATTGTGCGGTCATGCCACCTAACTAAATAACATGCTAACTAACAGTTCTGAAGTGACCGCTAGACATAAAGACTGCGGTAATTTTGAAATATCGCCTCGCTTTGAAGTGTACATTTCACGGGCACGCGAGGCGTTGTCTCGGACGTCCTTGAAAGACGAAGTTTTAAGTGATCAACGTTTTGAGCTGCTTTTTACGGCTCGAAATAATATATAGTTAAAACAAAAATCTGAAGAAGAATACAATATTTCGGTATTTAACATTTAATAGATTTGGTTAAGGAACTGGTGAAAACAGATATACCCTATTGCTGCCTTAACAAACTCACAGTTATGAATGAACTCACACTGTCAAAGTAGTGATTTGACATTAGGTTTCTCACAGTTTGTTTTAACAGCGAAATAGAAAATCAAACTTAGTGCCTAGTTTACGCATGCACTATGTCTCAGTTACTACATATTAATATGTAGAATATGAAGATAAACGTTCAAATCACTACGAGTTAACAATTCAAAGAACACAGAGAAAAATGTTTTGACTTAAACGGACCAAAAGTTAAATCTTTGAAGGGCGGAAGCGCGATAATGGTAGTTGTAAGTGAGCAATGGGGCGATGAACTCGATAAGATGTAAAATCTTTAGAAACGGAGTTGAAAATTAATGTACTCCTTACATTCGATCAGAAACAAATATTGCACAAAATTAAAAACAAACAAACAAACAAACAGATATGTTCATTCAAAACTTGAGGTATCAGAGGTGGCTTACAATATGAGAGATAATATTTTGACCTCAAAATTAATTGATACAAGAAAACTTGTTAGAGCTCATTCCGCGATACTTTATTCTGGGATGGCTAGGTTAGAATGAATAATATAGTTCGTTCTTCTTATGCGGGTTATGAACGGACCATTGTATATGAAAAATTGGCTGTGCAGCTTCAACAACCAGGGAAATTTCTTTTTAAAAAAGACAGCATATCAACTAGCTAGCCTTTCACTTACCCATACTTGGCGAAAGAAAGCCAAGTGTCCATCATGGCGACGCTCAATTCCTTTTCCTCTGCGGTGTAGCTTTCGGGATGACGAAGCGGCCTGCCGAACACGTAAGGCACCTCATCAAAATGCGTGGCTCCCGCCCAAGCGGGCTTCTCCAGCCGCGCAGCCGCGTGACTGAATCGGTAGTAGTACACCGTCGTGTTGTGGTCCCCGAGGGCCTCTGCGAAGTAGTTGGTGGGGCATGTGTACAAATAATCGCCGATAAAGTCAAACACATACTGTCGGTTGTGGAGCACATCTAAGCCTCTCAGATTGGAAGCGAAGTAGTAGTACACTCCTTCCATTGCTGGAAAGCCAATTAGTCTCTTGAACCTGTATTCGCCGAAAAACTGCTTTATGTAGTTCAACAGCTTCAGCGAGGTAAACTCAGAAGAATCCACAAAGTTCCTCCATTTCATGTGGCGTAGAAATTCCCAGGCGCCCTCGTTTCCGTTAGATCCCACCAGAACGTCCACTTCATTGAACAACCCCATGCTGTAGGCCATATGTGGATTCAGCGGAAGGAACTCGTTGTCAAAGGTTGGACCGTACATGTGGTACACGTCTTCGACACCCTTTTTGATTCGCAATTCGGCTTCGATCATGGTTTTCTCAAAATCATCAAATTGCTTTTTTGTCCTGGCTGTACAATTTCTGGCCTTTTTAACAGCCTTTGTACCGAGAGGGACGTGACCAGACCACATGGAACTTTCTCTCAGCTTCCAGAACGCACCTCCACTCTGCATGATGGCGCGTTTGAAGAGTCCGGAGCTGACCGGGGACATCATGTGCATCGCGATTGAAGCCGCTCCTGCGTCCTGTCCAAAAAGCGTCACAGCACTCTCGTTGCCGCCGAAGTAGAATATGTTGTCCCTCACCCACTGTAAAGCTAAGTTCTGGTCATATAGCCCCTGGTTTCCGGGAGCCTGGTCAGAGCCCGCGTTCAGAAAGCCGAGACGTCCTAACCGGTAGTTCATGGAGACGACCACAACTTCCCCGTACGCAGCCAGCATCGAGCCGTCATAGTAATCCCAGCTAGACGAACCGAGGATGAAGTCTCCGCCATGAATCCACACCATTACGGCTCTGAGTTCACCCGGGACCACGTCCGCCGGAGCCCATACATTGAGATAAAGACAGTCTTCGCTGCAGTTTGAAGACTTCCCGGGCAACGGAGGCCATTCATGTGGGTTTTGTCGACACTGGTGCGGCCGACGTGTCGCGTTAAGCGTGACGTTCCACGGTGGATAGGGTACTGGCTTCCGGAGCCTAAGGTCCCCAACGGGCGCCTGGGCGTAAGGGATGCCCAAGAATACGTTTATTCTTTTGCCGAGGAGTTCCACCTGCTTTCCCACAATGGAGCCGTGCTTGGTGTCTACGGTCGGTGGCATGATCCTCACGTTCGGATTGCCACGGGCAACACCCACGTCGGTAGCGTCAGGGTTCCATTTGGCGTGGATGACCAAACACAGCAGTGCGATCCTATAGGCCACATCTAGAAGTCCCGCCATCTGAAACGCAATAGTTTTAGACTGTGAACATCGCTCGCTTTCTGTTAATTGAATCAGAAATAAAGGATTGACAGCACTGTCCGAACCATATGACTTTTGACCTTCTTGCAAGTCTATTACTCATGATTTCATCAGCTTGTAAAGCTGCATTTCGACGTGCCGGTGCAACTAAGCGAGCGCGCACGAATGTGCTCTAAATAGCTATACAGTACCCAGGTGCGCGAAGCTATCGTTCGCATGCACATTTGTCACCCACTCCCCGTTAGAAGAGAAGCAATGTGGTATTGTGTGTATTTGAACCTAATAACAAAATTGCACAATATAAGAAACGTGAACATTTAATCTCAAAATGGTTCTCAGGTTCGTAATTCCGCGTAATATCAACCATGTCACGATGTTTACCTTTCTTCGTTTTTCCTCTGGGACGGAAAGAAGGAATAGTGTGTCGTGCAGACTCGGAAGAAGCAAGAATAAAACACATGGAAAGTGGCGTGTCGATCTGTGACACTACGAACGATTTTTGGAGGGCATATAAAATTCTATTGTATTTAGTGAGAAGGTTGAGAGCCATCATTGTCTTAAACTGCAAGAGGCTGTGCTACCAGATCCTCGCGCTCCAAATCTGCGACTGGGCGCTGTATGGCTTCGCCATCGAACTGCCAGGCTTTGGGAGTATAGAGGAGGCTATGGCACACCATAGAACTTGTCATTCCTCAGTGACAATAAGTTCCGTCAGGGTACTTACTGGCCGAGAACGCGAATCTAAATATTCGTAGACGGGTTGATTGTTGACGAGCGCATACGTCCAAGTGACGCAGTTCTCGTGTCCAATGCGTGAGTTGGGGTCGGTTAACGTCATTTTATCACCGCTGACGCGCTTTGAGTGCCGCGGATGTATCATAGTGAAAAGGCGGAGAGCTTTCGAAGGAAAAAAGGTACGAAATAATCCGCTGTATTTTCAAATGTTCGTTCGGTAAAGCTGGCTTTTGACTTTTTACCCTCTTTCTTTGGCCCACTAAACGATATGCGATTAGTAAAGCACCAATTTAAAATCATTTATCCCAGCCCAAAACTTGTTTGATGGCCCCTTTAAGTACTAGCGGTGGTATTAAATAAGCCTTTTGATCCTATGCAAACTGATTGTAATTTTAGTGAAAACACGGCAAGTACCTCAGGAAAAGAACCTTAAAAAAGTGTGAGATGACTTTCCCGCAGAACCTAGTGACAGCCAAAAACAACGAATATTAGAAAGGATCCAGCGAACGACGAACCTAAGGATACGATAAAAAAAAAGCGTTATGCTCAGGTACTAAAACATGATTACGTATCACGTACTAATCGTCCTTGCACAGTCATTTGCTGGGGTCATATTCATCGTGATTGGCTGCCTTCAGGTTTCACGGGAAAGTTACCTATCATAATTTTTGTTTTTAATAGAGCAAGGACATTCCTTAGCGGTGACTTCAAATATTTATGGGGAATAGTGTATATGCGCGCCTGATTTTCTTACTGTTTAAAGTTGCCTTTTTTGTGGTGTTTCACCATCTTTTCAGGGCAGCTTGTTCGATAGTGCATTTATTGAACTGTATACCTGCTCAGTGCTGTAAATAGTTCATTTGCAGCGAGTTTATTTTAGTTAGTCATAACCGAGAAAAAAAATCTGAAGGAGGAGGAGGGGGACATTTTAGAGATAAAGGAGGAAACCTCTGCCGCATTAGTGCTCGTACGGAAGAAACAGCGCATTGTTGTAGTGTCACGCTCGCAGCTCTTGCCGATGTCGCGCTAACATATTCCCAGTGTGGCTGCTGCGTTCTTTCTAACACTCTGCGCGTGCTTGTATACGTATATCTTCATGACTTGCATTTTGTTCTTGTTTTACGGGAATACTATTACGGATGTTATGGAAACTAGTGTTTTATATACAGCTTACAGTCTGTTTGAATGCGTGAGAAAACATGACAACCCTTTGTCTGTCTTGGGTTTGAGGCTTCTCGCGGTAGTGCGTATAGCTACTACTGTTTTCAAACACAATATTCACATATTGCCCTTGTTTTGCTAGCTTACAATTATTGTTTTATTACAGCAAGTAATAACGTAGAAAATAAAATAGGTTAATGAACTAAATGAAAAGAATGAAATGCGCTTCGCAGGAACTAGACAGCCTACTTTAAATCAATTTATACAAGGTGAATTTATCTCCGGCTCTAAACCTTGAAACATTCCTACTACGATACATTTCGCTTCGTGTCAACGCGACCATTATCTATTATCTTTATCTACATACGTTGCTACTCGGTAGGTTTACGCCACAGACGGAAAGAATTGCGCAGTATCTTTCTCGGCAGCTATATCGCCAGCGCTCTGCGCCGGCGTCCAGCACCAACACACCCATAGTCTAGCCTCCAGGTACGCGCAACCGATTTTGCGCGGTTTTCAAAACTCGAGCACGAAATTTCTCCCCTTCACCTACATCGAAAGCCATTCCGATCTGGGCTGCGAAAACGTTGGCTCATGCGCGCAGTAATGACAGCCTCTCGGACAGAAAACACAATCAGGCTCACCTCGCTCTATCGTTGTTGCTGGAAGCCCCCAGTGGCGCAAGATGAAAGGTGCCAAGGTTAGCTGGACGTCTCCACGCTGGTCAACGGTCTCTTGGTCGGTCGCCTTATCGCGTACAAAGGCGCTCGCATCCGGCTGCCTCGCGAGTCTGTGTCAGTATCCGCGCCACGGGGAAGCATGAGCCGCAAGACTTCCGTGTGGCCTGGCGTCTGTGTTTTAGCTTTTTTTGGCTTGCTTCTCGGGTGATGTACGGGTTCGGGGGGACCGGAAATCGACCCGCGGGCGCATGCATAAATGAGACGGGTCCGAGGTGTCGACACATTCCGGCGAGGCATTGACCCTGACAGTGCTCGGAGGTGAAGCTCTTGACGGGACGCGCTGCTGACGAGGGCAGCCCCGGCGGCGAGAGGGTCATGTTTGAAGGGGAAGGTCAACATACGCTCGAGGAAAAGCTTTCGTGTTGTTAGTGTTACCTGCGTGTTCGAGAGAAGCGCGCGCGCGGAACTGCGTGACAGCCGACACAAGTCGCTTTTGGTGTACCCCTCTTTTTTTGAGCGCATTTCGGAATAGGTGTGAGCTCCATGAGCGTTTTGCATCTCTTTTATTAGCTGCTTCCGAAATAACGCAGAAAAGCCTCGGAACTGAATCCATCACGTGCAGGCGCACGCGTGACTAAATATGTTAGATATCTTCCCTGACGTTCGAATCATAATTTCTTACTATTTTATTTGTTTACCTCGGTGTTGTGTAAATTATTGGAATGGTCGCTTTCAGCACGCCCCAGCTGCAGCTCGTGACAATAGAATGTGATGACGTTTATCAAACATTTTACTCAGTTAAGCGCCACATACAGAATTGTTGTTTCTCGTCACAATCGAAACTGAAATGAATAGATAAATAACTGCGCAGCGAACACCGTCACATTCATGCGTCTGATCTTAACAATTGGATTCTGGATATTCACCGCCATTAGCATACACAATTTTAACTGATATTTGAGTCACTATACCCTGTTTCATACTTAAGATACAACGCTTTCAAAGCTGCTGGCGCGAGCATGGGGGTTGATCTCGTTGGTCATTTGCACGCACTCTCGTGCAAACGAAATCTTGGCTGAAGCCCACGCGCTCGCGCCAGTAGCTTTGACAGAGATGTAGATTAACTATAAAACGGGTTATAGATGACACCGAATTTCTTAAAGGGTATATTCTTAGGGAGTGAAGATACTTGACAAGTAAAGATCGGAGGCATGACGGCGAGGCTTAGGCAACATTATTTGACAAAAGGAGTAGGAGCATGGAAACGCTGCTGGGTTACGATTTTCACGTCAATCCTTCGGAAGGCCCTATTAACGCACGAAGATGTGACTGGAAACACAATAAAAACAATGTATTATAAAAATGAAATAACTCTGTAGTACGTGCCCACAAAGAACAGAACAAGAAGAGTGGTGAGAAAAACGCGATGAAGCGAAGTTATACACACAATGACATATTTTGCAAAATATTGTTTACAGGCACAAAAAAAAAAAAAAAAAGACACAAAATACCCGCGCTCATTATGAACCTAGTAAGAACAAATCACGACCAGAAACTACGTATATAGGCAAGTACATACTAGGCACTGAAAGCATCGACTGACATTGGCATTACAACCGCACAATAAAAATAAAGCCCAGAATGGAAACGGATTCAGCTCGAAGCACGGAAGACTTCCGCGTGCTCTAAAAGAGTTTTGAACTTTCAAAGGTATATTCAGCATTAGGCGAAAGCTTAAGGCTACTCGACGCTAAAACAGTGCTTACTTTTCTTTTCTGACGAGAACAGTTCAGGCAGTTACTAAAATTTTCACTGCAATTTTGCGTTAAAAAAAAAAAAAGTACGTGAAATGCGAGTTTTCGTTTTTTTTTGTTTTGTTTTGTTTTGTTTGTTGTTGTAAGACTCTCAGAAAAAAACAATTCTTCATTGTAAGCCATTGTGACACACCGTGAAGAAGTACTGAACGGATCAGCGATTCCTGCGCGTTGCGCCCACTAATTTTGTGTCCCTATACGTGGTGGATGAAGAAAGAATAAACAATTAACACTGGGACAACAATTCTGTGTCCCTATACGTGGTTCAACGTTTTTGTTCCTTCATTTTTGAGCGAACTTCTTGCTTCGTGATTGACTCATCGGTGCCCTTATCGGCAAATGCCGATTTCCCATTGACTAAGGAGCGATAATGAGATGTTCGGGACGCCCTGTGTTTCTTAAGTTGGTAAATGACGACAACCAAAAACTTTTGCGCAATTAAAAATGACGTCTCGTACAGTCAGACGCCCCACATGAAACGTCGCGCACGTTGTGACGTTTCACGAGTGAGAAAGGTACCTTCTTTACAGATCTGATCATTCGCTTGGCTCATTTCACAGATAGCATTGTTTGTGCCACACGCAGGCACTGTGAAGAAGCAGGCGTGTGTATAAAGTAAACAAAAAATCTGCTTCGACTTCAAAGTCTCGACTGAGTGTGCACTATAAGGAATGGGACGCCGGTGCTATTGCGGACAAACGACAACAAATTGAATCATATAAACCGACCTTGTCGTTCACGTAAGTAAAGCTGGACGGAAGCGTGCGGTTGTTGATGAGGTGACAGGAACTGCTTCATGTAGACAGGGACCCCTAGTAATACCACGAAAGGTAACCAGCAAGAGAAGCAAAACCATCGACGTATTCGAAGTTTTTCTTCTCCCATGACTGCGCAGGCAATGAAAAGCGGCGTCGCGTCGGTATCGACGTAACCGCACTAAATTTATCGGTAAATTTACGTCACCTGATTTCAACACCAATTCCATTCCACGCTAAATTTGGCGGGTTGAGTTTCTCCGCAAGATTTAGTGGGAAAATTGTCATCACGTGACTTCAACAGCAATTCAATTCCCCGCTACTGACCTCTACAGCAATTGATTCCTCGCTACATTTAGGTTGCAATCGAATTGGTATTGAGGTCACGTGACGTCGATTTCTCCGCTAAATCTAGCGGAGAAACTGGATTTGTTCATAGGTGACGTGACACCAAGTAATCTGACGTCATTTTGCTCACTAAATTTAGCGGGGAAACTGAATTGGAGGAGGAGATGGTACGGAGGAGGAGGAGGAGGGGCATACCCTCCCTAAGTACCCTCCCCTTCTTCTCCTCAAGAGCTGCGCTCTAATTTTGCATTACAAAGAATTGTAAACGTCTTTCATTTTTTTGTTTCGTTTTTCAACTTGTTTTAACATTATGTTTGAATTTCTCATTTTGTACATTCCCTTCTTCAAGAATGGCATTTCGAGGTAACTCTCAGACCGCTTGATATATAGGAACCGAGAAATACAAGCTTTAGTAGTGCAAGACAAAAATTAAGAACCGCCTAAGCTATATCTTGAACTGAAGTTAAAGCACTGGTGGTTTGAATAAGATGACAACGTTTATAAATTAACGTTATATGACTCAAATGTTTGAGGTGATGCTTGGAAATTCTGTATGGAAAGGCTAGTGAAGCTTTTAGATCCAAATAGCGCCTGGGGACAAAATTGGCGGTCATTTTCTCACAGATTTTACACAAGTAATACAACCTTTAAAATCCAACACTAAACGTTTTTCTTCCAGTCCTTCCTTTCTCGTCGGCGAGTCCGACGTTAATACACTTCGCCATCGCTGATTTAGTAAGTCTATATACAGGTCTTTCAAATCTTGACTCTCCGAAAGATGGTCTCGGCGTTGAGAAGCAGCACTTGAATCACGGCTTTTTATATGAATGCACGGGGCACTGATGTTTGTCCGGCACTAACTCGAATACACTCGTGGGTATCAGGGTGCCATCCTTAGGTTGAGGATGCGCGAACGCCAGAACTCGCACCTCTCCTCGGACAGTGGTGATTTGATGTGAGATTTGGGAACATTGAGTTCAGCGTAACTAGGGTCGGAGGCTTTGAATTCGGGCCAAGTTTTTCCATTCACCTCGGGGACTTCACTGAAACGTAAAAAAAACAAACAAAAAAACATCATTAGGCACGCTGATAAAAAAAAAAACACATTAAATGTACGTTGACTCTGAAATGATGTCTAAATAGTTCACAAGAGAAGTGCGATAAAAAAATGCTCCTATATTAATATCAATCCAGGCATCCACTTCCCCTAAACTTTCAGTACAATAGAAGCATATGGTTGAGAGACGGGCACAATAACGGGAATTTTCGCAGGAATCGTTTTATCTCAGACAATCGAGTTTATCGCATACGTTAAGGAAATTACCGTCACAATAGCATAAGAAAATAATCGTCATTCCTGTCGGACGTAAATGCATAAAGTACCGGATTTGCAGCAAATTTTCTTCCAAATTCACAAACACTGTGATACCTGGTCATATTAATTAATATTTGATTTATATCTAAGCTCTCTTTTTATTTAAGGCAGATAAAACGTGCAAACGAAATTATATAATATGAAATAAAAATTAATCTCCTTGTTGCGACCGCAATTTAGACATTTGTTTTTGTCAAAATTATAATCTAAATGGTCGGTAGTATACTATGGATGCGCAACTTGTAATAAATAATATGCCGCTTTGCGTTTTAATATCTATTGCTGAATATTAACCCAAGAAGCCTCTTTATTGTATTACCCCACTTTGCACTTGGTAGATTATTTAACTTACAAAAAAATCAAATTTACAAATGTATTTATGTTACTTACTAAACACGTTACGAAATATATGGCGTTCCTCTCGTTTTTTTGTATAGATTCTTATTTTTTGCACAACTAAGACTGTAATGATCAACATTAATCTACACCGCTGACAACAATACAAATTGTTTCTTAACTCAATTTGTATACGTACCCGGTCTTGGCAAAATGCGTCCATGTGTACATGACAAATAGAGTGAAGTCTCTTTCCTCTTGCGTGATGTTGAACATGTCGTTGTTTAACGTGTATCCGAACACAAATGGGATTTCTTCGAAGTGAGCCACCCCGGCCCACTCGGCGTTCCAGGAGTAGCTGGGTCGGTGGGCGAACTCGTAGAAGTGGACGCTGTTGTTCCTCTTGGCGTAGTCCTCAGCGAAGTACATCAGGGGGCACAAGAACGCGAAGTCACCCATCGCGGTCGAAGCGCGCCCGAGGAAGCTTTTTGGGTCATTGCTCGTATTTTCTAGATAGAAGTCTCGAATCTCCTGAACCTTCGGTTGATGCAAGAACCTAAATAACAACATAAAGTAAACCTCCAGAGACCCTTTCTGGATATTGTGAATGTTCATAAAGTCCATCACGGTTGACAAGTAATACTCTATAAAAACGCTGCCCTCGTCCTTAACAGAGCCTATGAGTAGATCAGCGTCATTGGCAAAACCCTTTCTAATGGCCTTGGATATCTCTTCTGGCACCAACTCGTCTCCGTGACCTGGGTGGTACGTAAGCTGAACCCTGCCGCTTCTGGTTTCCAACGCTGACAGAATCTCCGTGGCGTTCTTCTCTTGGAGGCACTTAAGGACTGACTCAAAGTTGACAGTGACTTCCATTCCGCGTTTGGCGCAGTTAAGCTTCACCGCGGCCCGCGTGAACCGGTCCGTGTCGTCGAGCACACTGTTCCCTACAGTCCAGTACGGACTGCCGCTCTGCATGATGACGCGTTTGAAGAGCCCCTTGCTTAGTGGCGACGCGAGGTGGTAGCCGATGGAAATGGCCCCGGCGCTCTGTCCGAACAAAGTAACTTGCTCTTCGTCACCTCCGAAGTAACGTATGTTGTCTCTGACCCACCGCATGGCAAGGTTCTGGTCGTAGAGGCCTTGATTTCCGGGAGAATTTGCTGTACCCGCGTTCATGAAGCCGAAGGGTCCCAGGCGATAGTTGGCAGTCACGACCACGACGTCGCCCAAGGCAGCCAAATTGGAGCCGTCGTAAAAATACCAGTTCGAGCTTCCAAAGAAGAAGGCCCCGCCATGGAAGAAAAGCATAACGGCCTTTGGTCCCTCGGTCACGCCCGTTGAGTTTGGCGACGGTGCCCATACGTTGAGGTAGAGGCAGTCTTCGCTTCGTTCTTCGCCGGTGATGTTGATGACCTTGTTGAAGTATACGGATGGCTGGATGCACGACGGGGGTAGAAACAGGGCCCTAAACTCTCGAAACCAGGGCTTGGCGGGTACTGGCGGTTTAAATCGAAGAGCCCCCACAGGAGGCTCTGCGAAAGGAACCCCGAGGAATGCGTCGATGCTGAGTCCGAACACATCTTGCCGGTAACCCCGAACAAGGCCGGATTTGGTCTTCACTAGAGGGTCGTACTTGGTGATTTTGTAGGCTGTAGACGCTGCAGCACAACAGAGCACCAAGACACTGGCGACATGCCTGCTGCGCATCATGAAGGCTCTCGGTTATTCTGTGAAGGAAAGAAAAAAAAAACGCACTTTCTCGATGGTTGTGAGGTATTTAAAAGACGAAAATTGGCCAGTAATTCTGTGATGAAAGAACTATATATTATCTCAGTTCATTTGAAAGTGCATTATTTCTTGTATCCAATATTGATGTCTATACAGGACGTCCAGATTTCTGAAGAATAGCCATACGCACGTCCAGTAGTGGTATTAGTATTGATTTTCAAAAACACGAGCACACATTGGGTCATGTACAATAGACGGAGGTAATTAAGGAATAACTAAATGAATATATCGCTGCTACGAGGAGAATTCGAGTACTTAGTTATGAAAAGTGTTAAGGAACAACTAAGCACACACGCTTCTTAAGGCTTCATTTTGAGGACACCCGCCGGCAATATGACGGTGAACACCCTACCTGGTTTCTTGCCTGCTTTACGGCTCCCGAAAGCTATATTAACTCTCAACGTCTCAAATGGTACGTGACTTGGGGTCTAAACGTTGCGTTCTAGCCCTCTTCTGAAACAGAGATTGTTCCAAAACTTGCAGGAGCGTCAAAAACAAGAAGAGGGCTGGTCGCCTTCGTATCGCTCACGGGTGTACAGTTTATGGCGATTCTTGGTTACGTGAATACGTATATACATAAGTATATATTCAGTTTCTTAGAGTTATAAAAAAAAGGAAGCAGCTTTGATAGTTCCACCCCTCGCGTCTTGAACTCAAAGGAGGCAGTAAACATCTGCCTTATCTTATTTCTGCGATGTAGAACTGAGCAGATAAAAAACAAAAACCTATAGACTATAGTGCGGAATCTCCGATAAATTGAATAGTAAATGACGATGCCACTGCATTTAATACAACTTTGAAATGACGCGCCTGAGAATTCTATATAATCATAATTTCACAATTTGAAATTACGATAAACGATTGAATGGTCACCATCTGTGCATAAACAAGCTATGGCTGATTTGGTTATAGTTTGACTTTTGTCGAATAATCCGTAGACGGGAAAGGGTGCTCTAATTCATAGAACCTCTTGGAGCGGTTACAGAAAATCGAAGATTTAAAAGTAACTTATGTCAGGTCTTAGGGATATAATAAGAGTGGTGTGATGATGACAATGAGACGCATTGAATGCCCCATAAATCTAAAATTTAGCACCGCTTGGCATACGGTTCATCTGCATTTCTCAAAGGTTAGCTCATAGCTGTAGTGATGCCGAAGTCAATAAAAGAAGTAACTGGAAAGATGGTAATATTTTATTTTATTTTCCCAGCTACAAAGCCTGATGTGACACTACTAAACCATGAATGCAAGAGAAGTCAGTCTATGATATTATGTTTGGTAGGATCACTTTTTTTTTAGATTCTTACAGTTTTGTGACGGTTCCCTGCTTTCTGACGTTGACCTGCTTTTAAGAATATTTTGTATTCAAAACTAAAATTCAGCAGGGGGCAGAGAACGTCATCTTCAGTCATTAGTAGCTTTATACAGAAACATCTAATGGCTTCACCGGTTTTTAAATTTCAAATTTTACACGGAGTACATTAGTAGCATAAATTCATAAGACACCGAGCAGAGAAACTTTCCGGAGCGCTTTATATTTGTTCTAAGCATAGAATGACAAAAATAATATTTGAAATAGAACTTTAGTTTAAAAGAATATACTTACATGCAGGAAAGTTGCAAATCCAATAGAGCGTTTCTTATTGTCCGCCTCTTGCCGAAAATTGCAATCCTACAAGAAAAAAAAAAAAGATGCGTTCTTTCGACGTATGGTGACGGACCTTCTGGCAAATCAACTGAAACTTTATGTTTATCCGGATCATTTGTGTTTTGGTCAAGAGAGCGAAAAATATAGTTAAAACAGTGACAAGGATAACACAGAAAAAAAGAACACATATATTAAATGAATGAAAACACTCAATGTAAAGTGAAACCTACATATTTGTGTTGGCGACCTTGACTGAAGGTAAAAACCCCAAGTCACTGAGATAAAAAATATATAATTTCATGTGGCCGATAAAGTTAGAACTTTATATTGTGCGATATAAAGTGCAAACCTTAATGGGAATAAAATGGGCTTTATATGATTCAGTTCACCGACATTTTTAAGGGGCAGGGTTGTTTAATTGATTATATATGTTTTGTGACGTGCACGATAATAATCTCGTGCCTTTACATGTTGTGTTAGGTGTTCCCCAATTTTTTTTTTTTTTAGATGTAGAATGTTCAGTATATGAATATGCTGGATGTTTCCTAGCTTGCGAATAAGTTAAAGAAATACATCTTAAAATAAAGTCAGGGGGCAGATATGTCAAGACGGTGATGACATTGATCGCCTGAAATTCCTTCATTAACTTTTAAAATAGTCGACTTTTTGCGTCACTGCCATATCGGCCCATGATGAAGTACTCGCCAGCCGCCCTAACAGGGGACGCTGACCTCTCTTTCGCGGAGGGAAGGAGGGAGGCACTTTGGTTGCTCATCTGCCCGTGGCATATTATCATTAATTATTTCACAATCTAACACTAACCTAGACAATACTTTGGGGATCTGAAAGTGTTGATAATCTTGCGACACCTGTTGTTGGAAGCATTCCATATTCAGGTACGTAAATTCTTGTTGGGTTGTTCTCCTTGCAAGAGATTCACTAATTTATCAGTCAAGTTTTCTGTTCCCACGTTGTCACATTTTCAATTGTTTTATTAATTGCGATTTATGTTTAGATATTTGTCTTTCATTAGAGTTATGGATAGTAATATATTTCTTTCAGCTCGAGCAATCTTGCCAGTACAAATATGACTAGAACCAGAAGCTATATAAACCTTTTGAGAGAGTTATTTTCGCGTTCACTTTAGTTTATGGGGATATATGTTGTTTGTAATTAAATGTCCGTGAAGAAAACAAAAAGAAGTAAAATCAGACATTGATGCGGAAATTCTATTCACAATTGTTAGGTGCGGTCTGAAAGCTGATGTTGTCGTGCGCTTGAACTCAGTTATTCTGTATTGTTTTCTTTGTGCAGCTTACTCGGCATAAGGAGCGATTTCAAAGATGCAGGCGCCGATATCCGTTCTCTAAGCACAAGGCAACGCAATAGCCCGTTTGTGGAAAGCTCGCACCAGCCCCTTGGGAGGGCTTGGAGAGAAATGACCGGAGGCCATTAAGCAGAGTTTCGGTTTGACTTCGCAATAAGCCGCCTTCCAAGAACCGTGTCAGGAGCAGTTAAAGAACGGGGCATGTCCCTGACGACAGAGCAAAAAGCATAGAGGCGCTGCTGTCAATCTAACGCGTTTGCCGAGAGTTTCACATCGCCGGAGGGAAGCTAAACGACGCAAGGCGTGCGTCAATACCTCATGGAGGTTAACGATTCTTCATTCAGAAAGCTAGATAGGCGGCTTTGAGTTCGCGGAGTTGAGTTCAACGCTTGATGGTGCCAGTGTCCATGAACGCCCATGGCGATTGGAGGGAGCAATATTCAGTCCTTCTCCCCGCGCTTTCTTTTGAAAGAATGAAACGCTTAGAGATCGTACTCTGAGGGCCGAGCCACACGACGCTTATCAGGCGTGAAGAACAAATGACGTGTCTGCACCTGACCAATTTCTAAAAGAAAAAAATATATATATAATTTTTTTTTTATAATTTGAGTAAAGTTATTTTTTTCCTAAAAACATTTGAAGCGTTCCAAAATTAAATAACCTCGATGCCCCGACAACTATTTTAGCAACGCTCCTTGACTAGGTTATCTTGTTTTATTATTTTAGCTTACGGACATATTATAGTATGTACTATTCAACAAAAAGTAATTGATTTTTTTTTGCGAGTATAGAGGTTGCGTCAATAAGTTTATTTATTTATTTATTTAAATACCTTAAGAACCCTGGAGTTAGGGTATTACATAAGGGAGTGGGGTTATAGGAGATGTGATGATAACAATTCGCGGAATGAGCCGATGTCTTGGGTGGAGACGATGATTTCAGGCAGGCCGTTCCAGTCCACAGATGTCGCCGGAAAAAAGATTTAAAGAATGCTGTGTTTCGGGTAAAGAGAAGGCCAACTTTTGCAGGGTGATCAACACGAGGAGATATGCGATGAGGTGGCAAGATGAATGAGCTATGTAGCTGGTCATCGTAGTAAAACCTGTGAAAAAGACATAGTTTAGCAATACGCCTGCGTGAACATAAAGGAGTCAAAGATAAGTTTTGTTTAAGTTCAGTTACGCTGACAAACCTGGAGTACTGAGACGTTATAAAGCGAGCTGCACGGTTCTGAAGTGATTCTATGTCCGATGTAAGGAATTTAAGATGAGGGTCCCAGACTGATGATGCATATTCTAACTTTGGGCGTACTAATGTGACGTATGCGAGGCGTTTGACAGATGAGGACGCGAGACGAAGATTGCGGCGTAAAAAACCAAGAGTGCGGTTTGAATCGGAAATGATGTTGTTAATATGAGTCTTCCAGGAGAGGTCGTGAGTGAAGTGAACGCCAAGATATTTGTAAGTGGAGACGGCATCAACATTGGGGTTACCAATAGAGTAAAAAGCTTGAAGGTGTTGACGGGTTCGAAAAAAAGAGAGGGATTTAGATTTGGAAGCATTTAAGAGCATTTGCCACTTTGAACACCATTCATTAATTCGGTCAAGATCAGTCTGCAGATTAAGTGAATCATTTGTGTTAGCTATGGGCCTGTAGATTACGCAGTCATCGGCAAACAGGCGGACCGTAGAGGACAGCGAAAGGGGGAGATCATTAATATATACAAGAAAAAGCAGGGGTCCAAGAACAGATCCTTGCGGTATGCCAGAGGTTACAGGAGCGCTTCGGGAACGGCAGTTGTGGATGTGCACATGCTGGGTTCGGTAAGAGAGAAAATTTTCAATCCATGCTAGAACGGAAGAATCAAGGGAAAGTGCGGACAGTTTTGTTAGTAGGAGTTTATGGGAAACACGATCAAAAGCTTTGGAAAAATCGAGAAAGAT